CATGGGCCGATGTCAGCGGCCACACCCTGATACAAAAACAAACTAGACAAGGTAACAGGTGTCTAGCCCAGTGTAAAGAGAACTAGCTTAACGAAATCCACAAGGTGGCAGGGAGGGAAGATGGAAGACTGGGTTCCTGAGCTGTGACAGGTAGTTTAATAAGTGTATTTTGCACACAGGTGTTGAGTACCTGCTGTGTGGTAGCAACCATGCCAGGGATACAAAACAACCACAACAAAAACCAACTGCCAGTGAGTTCATTCTGAATCATAGAAGCCCAACAAGACAGAGTAGAACTCCCCCTTGGGCTTCTGAGACTGTACTTCTTTATGGAAATAGGAAGCCCCATCTTTGTCTTGTGGAGAGACTGTTGGTTTCAAACTGCTGACCTTGTGGTTAGCAGCCCAGTGTGTAACCACTGTGCCACCAGGGCGCCTATCATTCCAGGGATAGAGAGCAAAAAGAAGCTACAAGCATCACCTGCAAGGAGTCACATCTAGTTGGAGACCTACACACAAAAATAAAAGCAGTTGTTAACAATGACCATAATAGGTGCACTGAGAAGTTAACCTTGGACCACTTCCTGTTCTTTATATTATTCATGTGTTGGCTCAGTTAACCCTGTCACCACCCCAGCCATGTTCTGTTAGTATCCTCGTCTGAACAATGTAGAAACAGGCACACAAAGTGAGTGAGTGAGTAACATTCCAAGGTCACACAACCACAAGTGGCAGAGGCAGGGTTTGAGCTCATGCAGTCTGGCATCAGAGTCTAGTGTTCAGGGGGCCCATGGAGTCAGGAGCCAAGAGATGGACCAGCCCTGCTCAGGGGAGTGGGCAGAACCCTGAGTTCTTTGGAAATTACAGCGAAGACGGTTGTGTGAGTGATGTTCTTCCTAGTCCAAAGGCGAGCATTTCCTTTTCTGGCTCCAAGGCTTCCCTCCTGATTTCTCCTAGGGGGGGGGTGTGTGTGTGCGGGTTACACCGTTCTCTGTTATTTTCTGCCCTCCCATGTCCTAACGTCATTTCTACGACCCCTTCCCCAGAGGCTATATACTGTGCTCAAATAGTTCTTTTCTCTATGCTGGTGGCCTCCAGAGGAACCCTGCCAGTTTCAGCACCATCCCCTGCATGGGCAGCTTTTACCTGGCTGCCCCTCGAGGGTCCAAGCCCAGAGCAAAGCAGTTGGCCTCCCCACCCCAGCTCCACCTCCAAACACACTCC